TTCTCCCTCTGACCCTCCCCCCTCTCATGTGCTCTCTCTCTCCTCTCATCCTCTCTCTCAAATAGATAAATAAATAAAAATCTTTAAAAAAAAATAAAATACGGCTTTATCTTCTGGGATAAAGGTGAAGGAATGGGAGTAAGGTCTGCGATTATTACTCTTCAGCGTTTGGTTGGTTGGGTAGCATGTGGTAATCAGAAAAAGCACAGTGGATGTGGATGAAAACACATGCACTGCAGCCCTAACTATCCGAGTGACCTTGAGCACGTGATAATCCACATGGGCCCCATTCATCTGTTTAACAATTACTTGAACCCGGGTGTTGAGGTTACAAAAATGAGTAAGACCTGGTCTTTTAGACCCTCGCTTTTCTAATTTGTAAATTGGGACTGACAACTTCAATTTACTATAAAAAATTAAACATATACTACCCTTGTACAGAGATGTTCATTTTTGAAACCGTGTTCACAGATTTATTTATGCTTGTTCAATTTAATCCTCTCCACATCTGCTCATAGGAGCTCTAAATCCTTACAGGAATTAAATAATCTAATCCAATACCCTATACTTTTACATTCAGTCCACCGGGATTTCTTGAATCAAGGAATCCGGCTGAAGCTTAATAACGACTCGCGATCTTCAAGATTCTCACCCTCCTGCCCTGTGAAGAGCATCGCAGCCCTGCGTAGTTCTTTGGTGGGGCCTCGGTAAAACCTTAACACGGCCGTCGCCCTTTACGTCCCCAGCAAGCAGCGGCCACTCTGGGGGTTGAAATGCCATTTGCCATGCCTAACTCGTGCAAGACGACTCTCGCACGCCCCCTGGAGGAGCCGGGTGGGAAAGGGGCCGCTAGCTTGCTGCGCTTCTCCCACTTCTCTGAAGGCGAGAGGAAGGGCCGGGAGCCCGCAGGGGCGGGGGAGGGGGGAAGTTCCCTCGGCGGCCATGCGGGGAGCAATTCTAGGGAGTGGAATCACCCGCTCGGCTCTGGAGAGGCCGTACCCAGGCCGGAAGAAGCCTGCGGCGGCACAGAAGTACCAGCAGGAGGCGCGGGCCGCCGGGCCACCCCCGGGGCCAAAGAGCGGTGGTCTCTCCCAGGTCCGGCGTGCGGCGTGGCCGCGCCGCTGGATCCCCTGTCGCCCCCCATCCTCCCCCCCGCACTCTCACCTCGTCACCTCCCCGCCCAGTCGGCGGGTCCCTGAGG